GGGCGGGTGCCGGGGAGGGCGGCGGGGCTCCCTCAGCCCCTCGCCTCGGCGGGCAGAGGCGCCGGGCGGTCGAGGCCTGGACGTCGGGAAGGGGACATGGATCCGCGCTGACTTACCGGCCCCCCCGCCCTCCTCCCTTGCTCTCCTGACAGCCGGGGCAGGAGGAACGCGACACAGCTTATCGTCATTAAAAAAAGCCGGGGAGAGCTTTTCCTCAGGCTGGTTTGGCTTCGGTTGTTCGCTTTGGTATTTTCGGAGAAGTTAACGTGCAGTAGCGGTTTTTCTTTTCAGTAGGCCCCGCTCCCCTGACGGGCGTTTGTTCCCCGAGCAGGTCTCGGTGCTGTATTTCGCCAGGAGCGCGGAGCTGGCGGGGCTGCGCTGCGAGAGCCTCTCGGTGCCGCGGCGGATCACCGCCCTGCAGCTCTGGGAGGAGATCGTCAGGGTTCACCCAAGGTAGGCGGGGGTGAGGCGCTGAGGTGCACGAAGTTTAACGTGCTTGGGGGTGTTTTGGTAAATGCACGTTTAGAGTTGAGCGGGGACACGTATCAGTGCTTTGATGCTATAAAAACAGTGACATTACCTGGTTCTTGTGACCTGCAGCAAGTGTTTTGTCCAGTTGGAAATGCTGTAGCTTTATGGATGTAGGAAAAACTAGAAATGTACCCGAAAGTTGAGCCCGAGGGGTGCTTTAAGACACGTGGCCCACTGTCCAGGAGGGCCACGGTGCGGTAACTCCGCTGCAGGTGAAAACTGAGCTGTGTTACTAACCTGTGGAGAAGGTGAGATGTCTCAAGGAGGGATCAAGCACAGCCAGGGCAATCAATAAGAAATTCATGATAATGTGCAGGTGTTTTTGATCACTTATCTTTAACTGTACTAATGCTAGCCGTTGGTCTGAGCATGTGGCACGCTCTGGAAGGCACATCGGGAAGGGAACTGAAGCCCTGGCACAGGCTTCCAGCCATTCAGCCCTGACATAGGAAACGGGCTCAGCCACTTTCAACCTCCTCTGCTCTGAAAACAGAAAAACACTGTCAGTTGCATTTCATAGGGAGTCTGGTCCTGAGAGAGCGCTAGGTGTGTGCCGAAAGGGCGCCTGCAGCGCTGGTGCTCTTTGGGGGTGTCAGCAGAAATCCCTGCTCAGGTTAAGGCTGAGGGAAGGCGCTCAGTCCTGTCAGGAATGAGTCGGATAGACAAAGGTGCAGCACCATTTTGGAGAGGGGAGTAAAAAAAAAAAAGTAAGGTGTAACAGACTTGAGGTCTTCAGGATTTAGTGCTGAATGGACTGGAATTCCTGTAACTTTGGACTTAGGTGTCGAAGCCTTCCTTTAGGCACCACCCTTCTTTATTAGATCTACTCTCAAAGGCTATGAAAAAAATTAACTATTTAGCAATGGCATCTGCTTCCAAATGAGATCTAACCAAGTGTTAGACCAGGGGCTTTTTCCTCACAGAGAATTGAGACTAAGAGTGTTTCGGGGGAGGAGGCAGTAGGGAATGAGTGTATTTTACTTTGCAGCCTAATACTCGGTGTCAGAAGCAGCAGCAGCACCTTTGGTGGGTTTGCCATAATTGGTCAACTTTGTCCTTTTATGAATGCTGACGTGGGGCAGTGCATTTTGCATGTGCCGTTGCTTCACAGTGGTCTTGGAAAATGCTTCTGCTCCTAGCTTTTCTGGAAAAACTCAACATAATTGTAGGGCATTGACCACAGACACACATTGCTAATGCATATTCAAACTGCAGCTTGAGCGTACTTGACCGTGCTCTTCTGTTCCACCCATTTTTTCCAATGAATTAACTTGCAAGTGACATTAATTAGAGCCCACCCTTCTAATGGGCACTTCAGTTCCATAGTTGTGCTCAGTTCCTCAGTGGCTTGCTTTACTGTCATACAGTCCTTCCCTTCAGTCTGCCCTCTGAGTCAGCGCTACTGTGTTTTGCTCAGCCTTTGCCTTGCCTACTTTTGTCTATCTGGCTGGTAGGAAATAAGATGATTTTTACTTGTACCCTTTCGGCATGCCTACTTGTTTCTAGGCAATACAGCTCTCCACTGTCTGTGCCAGATTTTTAGTCTCAAACAATAACAGTTATCATGCCTGCACCTTGTGAAGTAAATTGTTGGCATTCTTTTTCTGGTGTCTTACTGGTGTTGCCCGCATATTCACTGTGTGATTGCACTTAGTCATGAAAGTGACTCCCTGCCTTATGGTATACAGAGCTGTGGACTCTCACAGAAATACCTCACAGATGTGAAACCAAAAAATCTATAGAAGATCTGCCAGAAAATGCACCATATCTGCCCTCTTAGTTCTGTTGCCACTCCTTATCAATAGCAAATTTCAGACCTTTAAGTACAAAAGACCCAAAGCCTCTGAAACTCTTGAGGTTACATGACAAGAGCTGAAACTCTGAGGTTATACAACAAGAGCAACTCTTTGGCCACTGAATCTTCATGAGATCTCATGAACAGCATCCCATAATGCTTCTTGCTGTATAAGAAAATTGCTTTAGTCCAGCCAGACTGAATCAGGGGAACATTTCTGTCTAACCCCAAATTGGATGGTTGCTACCTCTTGAGTTACCTGCCTCTTTGTTAGAAGCTGCTGAAGTGGGTCTGGTATACATTGGTTTGTTCTGATGTAGGCCTATGACAAATCCAATTCTTGACTTCTGAAAATTATACTGAGTTGGTTTCTCCTTGGCCACCACAAGAAAATCCAAGAGTAGAAGGTGTGTGTTTGTTGTATTTTTGAAAGTGTATTGAAAACAGAGTTGAGTAAGTCTGTGGTATCTACAAAGTCTAGACTGTGCACCAGTTTGTTGTAAAATGAAATCTCATGGTTAAATGCAAACACTCTATTTAGAAACCTATTTGTGCTCCTGCCAATCCCCCTCAGGCTTGCTGTCATCCGGGATCAAGTGGTTTTTGCTGTTCGGCAGGAGTACGTGCTTCTTGGAGATCAGCTCCTGGACCTGCAGCCCGGAGACGAAGTTGCCATCATCCCACCAATTAGTGGAGGCTGAATCTGCCCAGGTTCTGTTAGGTAGGTATCACTTCTTGCTTAGTTTCCTATGGAGTGTCATCCTGTGCTAACATATCTCATGGATTCTGTATAATGTTCCAATAACCTTTTTTTGTTTAGGTCCAGAGATGTGATTGCAATTCTCTCCCTCCACCCCAGTACTCTTTTGAGAGAGCATAACTTGCGTTTCCCGCTGGAGAGAACCATTGTGCTGACCAGAAACTATAAGCTGGTGCACCAATAAATGGTTAATGCATATGCAGTAAATGGAAGAAAATTGTCAGAGAGGTCAGGCATTGTTTTGAATTTGGGGTTTAGGTCTTGTTATTCTTTGGTAGTTGTTTCTGGCTGCCAGTAGATACCCAGCTTGCCTAAATAAGATAATAATGAAAAACTTGCCACTTTTTAACAGAAAAGATGATACAGAAAAAGAACTGACTGCTGCTTAAAAAAAACCTTTTTTATGTTTGTTTGTTGCTGTCAAAGGAACGGTTGTTCTTAGAATAGCTTTATTTCTTAGCATGCTTTCAGGTGCCAGTCCATGTATTCACTGCAGCTTCTTCCATTGCTGCTGCTCAAAATACTTCTTTTCCTCCTCATTCTTAGATGAATCGAGGACTGGTTTCTTTTCAGAGAAATTGGAAGTATCTCCTGTGTCACTGAAACAGACCGACAGTATGAGGTCCTGAATGTCCTGGAGAGCATATCAGACTTTAGGGTCAGAACTCTAACCCGTGTTTATCAGATATCTCTGTTTTAAACTGTGTTTGATTTCAGGATAAGATAGGGAGGAGGGGCTGACAATTGTACCACAGATTTACTAGCACAGTGGTCCATGCTGGTTGATTGTACTGTTAAACTGGGGTCTCAGACTACTTCTAGTTTCGTCCTACTGGACCAGACTTTCCTACCAGGAAGGAACCTGTATGCATTGAAAAACCAGGTCATTGCTTGATACTTGAATTGGGGTCTCATACTACCTCTAGTTTCGTCCTACTAGACCAGACTTTCCTACCAGGAAGGAATTTGTATGCATTAAAAACCAGGTCATTGCTTGATATTTGCAGTTAATACTCTCTCAGCAAGTCTGCTGAGAAGTGAATTTGTCATGGAGACTGGTTTCTTGGGGTGAGGAAGTAGGTGGTGCACGTTTTCTGCATAAATCGGGTCATCAGCACTGCATAAAAAGCAGTTGGCCAATGCTAGTATCGCCAACACCAACAACAGAGTTTGTTTGGTTTCAGCTTTTCTAGTGAGCTATGGATGAAAGCGAAGATGTGCCAAAAGATTTTATCAAGCTCAAGTCTGAAAAGCTCTCTGTAGATGAAGTGTCAGAGCTGGTCATTTCACCATACTGTGGGGCAGTGTCTCTGTTTGTTGGTGAGTTTAATATTTCTGAGCTGGATCTCTGAGTGTGTTAATAGTCTAGTGAATGGAACCTAGATTGTCCACACCCCAGACTTGTGCTTCTCAAATAAATTCCTGGACTGCACCCAGGATGTTTAGAAAACACATTCTGAATTATTTAGAACAAGACCATGGCAGCTCTTAAACAGTTGCACTGGGACAAAGTGGTGAGAAGCTTCCCTGCTGGTGTGGCTATCCTAGGGCTGAACAGAACAGCAGCTCTGGAGTACAGGACTGCTTGGGAGCTATTCTCCCATCCCCTTGGACACAGCTTGTCCAAGGTGGGAAGTGGAATGTTGTGGCTGTGCAAACTGCAGGTCCACACCTGCATGAAAGCTCCTGCAACTCAGGTCTTGGTTGAAAGTAAAGTATTATTTTACCCATGGGCTGGTGAAGGTCAAGGCTGATAGCTCTGTCCTGTTGCTTAATGTACATGGTACAGATCTTGAAACCCCTTTGTGCTTAAACCTTAGTGCTACTGGGCTCCTAAATACTGAGCACTTAAACATTGCCTGGGCAAATGCAATAATAGCACCTTAGCAGTTACCACAGAAGATGTCCCAGCCTTGGGCATTACAGACTGCAGACTTGTATAATGTGTAAACTAAATTCTTGCTTGTATGTTAGGGGAGGTTGTTTATATTTGCACAGTGCTGACCTTGACCATAGCAAGAGATCGTGGGTTTTACTCAGTATTTATATATAATATATTATTATATAATAAGTATATAATATATATATTATAAATATATGATATATATTTATTTACTCAGTGCTTTTGGTTGATAAATCATTTGTGTTTAGGTACTACAAGAAATAATTTTGAAGGAAAAAAAGTGATTCACTTAGAATATGAAGCATATACTTCAATGGCAGAGACCGAAATAAAGAAAATCTGCAGAGATGTTAGACAGAAATGGCCATCAATCAAACATATTGCAGTGCACCATAGGCTTGGGTATGTATGACCAGATCCTGTCCTTCTGCAAGTGGATTATTAATCCTTGTCTGGTTCATGGCTGTGCTTACATAGGTGCAGGATGTGCAGGAGTCGTTATAAACAGTTATAAACTGTAATGTGGCATAGCTGGCTGCAGGTTCAAGCTCTCACTGCAGAGCTAAGTTTCAGAAAACATCTTTTCAAAAATGTGTGTATTGGTAGTGTTTGCTGGAGTCCACATTTAGCCTGCAGGATCCTTGATGCTGGTGTGATGGTTTGAAAGTGGGGAGAAGGGACTGAGATTTCATTCCAAACAAGGGGAGGCGGTTGGTTTGTTTTGTCTTTTTTTAAAGATGTGAAGTTGGCAGCACTTTCTTTTTTCTGCTCTCTTCCATTGAGGTGCCACAGAATGTTCTTATTGACAGATTTAAGTCAAATTATGCCATAGGGAACCTGAAAGCTTAGACTACGGGGAGGGGAGAGGCATGGTAATTGCCAGCCATGTTTGCCAGAGAACCTCCTGTTGTTCCTTGAGTCTTCGATAAGCGTTTTCTGTTGGGTTCAAAATGTGGAATACTAGTGTCTGACATACTCTTGAGCCTTCACTGTTCATCAGATTTCTCACTGAAGCTAGCAGGACTTGCAGAGTCTGTTGCAAATGCTTGTTTCCTTTCTCTCAGCAGAAGGAACTTAGGAGGCGATCGCAAAGGGTAATATTATCTCTGAGGGGTAGTTTCCTCTATAGTCAATAGAAAGAGTGATTCTCTTGAGGGCAGCTCAAAGCATTTAAGCTTAGATATTTCCTATGAACTGTTTGCTAGAGGAGTCGTACTACAGAGGGAGGGTTGGGAGGCAGCTTTTGGGAATACTGCCCTTGTGAGGAGCAAAACAAAACCTTGTGCTACTTCTGTTAAGTTTGGAAAACAACACACTAAACAGGAAAAACTTCATAATTTGAAATGAGAATTTGTAAAAAATTAAGTTTCATTGCAAAATCTGCATAGTTTGAGGCACTTAATTTCTTCTTTCACAAATTCTTGTGCAAACTTAGATAAGAACTGGCTGTTCCTAACTTGTTATTGTTCATGGTTAAGCCCACTTCCAGTGAGTTTCCTATGCATTGTTGCAAGTTAGCAATTTTCCCCTCTTAATTCCATAGACTTTATTTAAAAAAAAAGAAAGAATGGAAGAAAAAAGCCTATGTCTGGTGGGTTTATTTATTCTAAAGCATGGAATTCTCACATCTGGTACTGATTTTGGTTGTGGTTTTCTTTCTTTAAGAAGTGTATAATCCTTTGGACGTGGCTTGACACTTGCTCAGTATGAATGAGTCAGGAGAGCGTGTGGCCAGAATACTGACGTGACATGGCCACAACTTTTGGGTGCTCTTGATGTTAAGCATTAGCTAAAGCTGTTGTTGTTCCTCTTCTCTCCCTAGTGTGGTTCCAATAACTGAAGCAAGTGTAATTATTGCAGTCTCCTCTCCACACAGAGCAGAATCGCTTGAAGCTGTAATGTACTGCATCAATACCTTAAAAGCATCTGTGCCAATATGGAAAAAGGTATGTTTGGGGACAAATTTGATTTTAGGCCTGTGCCAGAGTCTTAGACCGCTGGGCTAAAGGCTGCTGCTGCTCTTAAGGGAAGTAGCTGAAGCATTACTTGCAGCAGTTGCTCCTGATGGGATGCCAGTGTTTAGCACCACTTTGCTTTAATGCAGCCAGACCCATCTGTGGCAGGGAGGGCACTAGGAAAGCCCTCCCTGCCTGTACCATGCAGCTCCTCTTTCTTTTGATGCCATCCAGGAGTCAAAGTGAAGGAGCCCTAAGCTCTCCTCTTTTGAGTGGCAAAACTCAGTTCTGCACAGGCTTGTGAAAGAACTTCGAGTCAGCTTTGCTTTGGACAGTCTTGCAGTTTGCAAGTAAAAGTGGCATTTCTTGTCTTTCTGTTTTCCCCTGATCCCCGTGGCCTTGAGAAAGCACAAAGCATTAAGCAACAACACACAATGAAGGGACGAGCAGAGGTCCCAAAGCTAGTATGGGCACACAACAATGTGTGGAGAGACCAGCCTGGGTCTAGAAAGAGCCTCATTGCGTAACAAGTGTTGCATGCAAGTCATGAGCCGTTACCTCTGCCTTCTCTCCCAGGCAGAACTTGGCATGTGTTACAGTGATGGTCTCTGCATCACTGCACTTTTCTGACATCTCTTCCAGGAGACTGGAGTTCTGTGGTCTAAGAAAGAATAATCAGGGGCTCAGAGCCCTGCTGAATTTGCTGCTTGGGCCTGGGCTGCTGCTGGGTAGTCCAGTCTGTCCTGAAGATCTAATACTTACTGTATTTTGTATATTGTTGTCATTTTTAGTTTTTTAATATTGACATTTTGTATAAACTTAAATACTCTCCTAAAAATGATGGTACAGTAGGTTAACATGGCAACATGTAAAAGGGAGTTTCAGACACGAGTGCTGTGTACTCTACAGCTTTTACATCATTTCTTCTAGATCTCTTTCTTGAATTGACTTCAGTATAGATGGGCCCTTGTAAATTTAATGGGGCTCAGCCTGAGGTTCAGCATCTTCCCACATGTAAGTCAGTATGTTCTAAGGGTGGTGCCCTCTTTTCTGTTTGCCCGACAAGTGCTATGTAGTCCTGTTGTGATCAGTAAATAATAGCAGGATGGCTGCTGAGTTGTTTGGCCTGGCTTGTGGCTGTATGTAGCAGACTCCCACAATATTTCCCGTTCTTTGTTTATATTTGCAGGAGATTTATGAGGATGAATATTCTTGGAAAGAAAAAAAGGAATGCTTTTGCAAAATCAGAAAAATATAACTGTACTTACTCTTTTAAAAATAAACTGTTACTGTTCCTAATGAGCATACTGGTTTAGCTTTGAGTTGTTTTTACAGAGAATCTGTATGTTTTTAAGCAGTTGTAATAGAAATTTCAATCTGAATAATTTAATTAGGACTGAATGAAATGAATGAGCAATAATTAGGGTTTTTAAGTGTTCTTGACTCTCCTTTGAAATCATCTCTGTGCATTTTAACATGGAGTCAGTTTTTAAAACAACCTTCCCTAAAATTCTTGGTTGCATGGTGTTTAGTCCTCTGTGATATATACTGCTTTAATCCCTGTACATTGGTAGTCTGTGTTCAGTGTCTGTATGGGAGGTTACAACAGGACAATTGAATTTTTTTAATCTTAAAAAAAGTCCTCAGTAGTTTAATTTTATATGACTGTAGAATCAGTTTGCAAACTCTATGCTATTTTGACGTTATTGTAACATGAAAGCTACTTGAAGTAGATAAAACATTTTGGTACAGACAGAGAAGAAAATACAAACTATACCTCAGAGTTACTAACTTCTTAGTAGTGGTTATGTTCCAGTAGCTCTGTCTCACAGAAACATTTTTACTGTGCAGCTGATACTACAAGTCCATTGCATTAAAAAAATATGGACAGACCTTGATTCAAAGTTAGATCTCTACCAGCAACGGACTTGCATTAGCAGTAACACGCAAACCTGTAACTACTTAATGCAAACCTGTAACTACTTAATGATGTCTAGACATGATTAATGTTGAAGGAGCTTCTTTGACTGTGTTATTGTATGGTGCTGCAGGAAAAAAAGCCAGCTATTAATACAAATAGACAAGTATAAGTTTAATTAGTTTTAGTAGTTTGACTTTAGACATGTTAGGATTCAAAGTCATTGAAATGGGTTAGTTTTTCATAGGAAAGTGAGTCTATTGAACTTTTTGCAGTTTATATATGCATTTATATTCACATTTATGATTTTAATACAGTTTTTCTCTTCTTACTGTTTTGAAACCTAGTGAAAAGAGAAAAAGACTGACATAGTATGCCTGTGCTTCCACTGGAAACAATGGGCTGCTCATCTGAGTAAGATAATTTTATTTATAGTATTGTACTGTGGCGTGATAGTGTTTAGATGCTACGAGTCCGAAGTCCCATTGTGTGCGGCATTTTTACTAATGCTGAGAGGCAGTTTTTTCTAGTCATCATTATCAATGTAGAGAAGATAGATAAAAAAGAAGGGAAATGAGGTAAAAAGAAGTAAAATGATTTGCTCAAGTTTATACATCATCACATCACAAAACACTTAAGCCTCAGCTATACAATCCATTTCATTGTGTCTGCAGCAAAAATCTACAAACAGCTGCTAGCTGCACAAAATAAAATGAGAAAAATGGGTGATGATCTTTTTTCCCCCAATGATTTCAAACAGTTTTAATACTTTAGTGATGGTTACTGTACCTGGATTAAGTAAACCCCAATGAAACACATCTTCAGCCAGAAGCATGGTTCAGCTGTGCTTGTTAACTTACTGAAGCACTTTTCCTCAGTGGAAGTGAGCAAGTCCTTCAGCTGAGCAAGTTCAAGGTTGAATTTTCCTTTGCTTTGGAGGTTAGAGAGAAGCCCTCTGCTATTTGAATGTCATTTTTACCAGGAATTATACAGAATCCTCAGTACGGATCACATCCTCTGTCAAATAATTATTTTTGTTTTTAGAAAAGAAAGACATACACAAACTTTCCCATTTTTGGTGTTCATTTTTCCACATTCATGTTTGCTGTTACCATGCAACTAATTAGTGTATTAATTTCACAAAAAATAAATGGCTAGCTTGCCTTGTAGTGGATCGTTTATGAATGAAATAAAACCTATGCAGTGCTTGCATACTGGTGCTGTGCTCTGATACAGAAAAATAGTGGTATTTAGAACAGTTAAATTGTACTTGGGGCCCTATGATCCGGGGCAATTCCTGTTGCTGTAGTGCTTCTCTAGTGCTGCAGTCTCCTGGAGGATTTCTCCAGGGTGACCTTAAGTGCACCTTCCCCCTCAGCAATGCAGCTGGGAAGGAGGGTGCAGAAAAGAAGAGAAAGAAGAATTGTGTACTTCCCCACAGTGACCGGGAACAATGAATGGAAGAGATGTTGTACTGAGTCACAGCTCAGTGTTACAATGTGTGTACGCTGCCATGGTCAAAACAATGAAATGTCATTTTGTGTCCCTAGCTGTGCATGAGGCAAGTACTGCTTTGTTCTGGAACAATGATGCATCAGTCTTGTGTAACTTTTGAGTTCTTCAGCTGGCATCTAAAAGCGAAATGGAAATACCCCTAGGAGGGATGATGTACCTAATTAGAGGTAAAATGTATCTCACCGAAATTTAAGTCCATACTCTGACCTCGATGTTCCAGCTCCCTCTGTAGGGCTACCCTCTCTGTTTAGGGTAATATTATTGTAAGAGGGCAAATTACTCGTAAGATGTCTGCCTAAAGCTATGTCTGGAGCGACCCAGAAGTGCTTCCAAATTTCCAGGCCAGGGGATGAATCCCCTCAGGCAAAGATGTGGCTGCACATGTCCTGGTTTCCACACATGCAGAACTAGACTGCTGGATGAAGGCTACCTTGTGTTCTGGTGAGGTCTGTGAGTGGGATGACTGGCAGCTGCAGATCAATATATAATGCAGTCTTAGCTTCCTGGGGTGAGTCCAGCTGTTTCTCTGCCTTGGCTATAGGGGAGGGTAATCCCACCCCTCCGTGGCTCTTCCAGCTGTCTGTCCCAGCGTGCTGCGGAAGTGGTGGCTCCAGGTGCAGACAGCTGTTCCCAGGAAGAGACGCTGCAGACGAGAGGGTCAATGTGCGATTCCTGTAGACATCTGCCAGATGAGGGGTGTTTGTGGAAGGGAAGCGCATGTCTTCAGAGCGAGAAGTTATCCTTCTGAAAAGATGTGTGGGTCTTGGCTGGCAACGTTTGAAGACACTGATCCATCCCTTTGTCTGGCAGAACGTCCATATACTAGCATTGCTTGATTTGAAGAGTTTCCTTTCCTGATTTTGATCTTTCCTTCTGCTCCATCCTCAAGAGGAGCTCAGGCTGATGCGCACTATGCAAACAGTAACTGATGGATTGTCATGAAATAAACGGGGGAGGGGGAACGGGACTCTGTCGTAAGGAGCCTACCCAGGAGATGGCAGCCGAGAGACGGCTGTGTGGGAGGAGCGGCTCCCACCCTGCCCAGGTGCTGGCTCTGCTGCGAGGCAGAGGCGCTCGCTTCGGCTGTCACTTATTAAACCGCCACTGTCGCACTCAGGAATGAAGCCTTTCCGTTGCTCAACTACTAGATTTTTGGCTTTTCTCTCAGCTTGCTTTTCCCATAGCTGTTCAAGGAATTTGTAGTTTTATAGACTAACGCATTCATTTTCTCCATCAAAAACATTACAAGGAAAAATACTGCCAAAATTAATTATTAACAAAGTGAAGTTGTCTGTGAAAGCAGACAGTGCTACCCCTTGCCCCCCCAAAAGCTCTAAAAACTCAGTCTTGAGCTCTTCCATTTTAAGAGAAAGAGGCAAATACATTTTAAAAACTGCTAGCACACCAAAGCCTGTGATTGCATATTAATAATTGATCATAAATGAGGGCAGAAAGGTTGACTTAAAAGATAGGACACAACATTTCTGAGGCTGTGAAAATTATGTACACTTCATTAACTTTAAAGGCAATAAAAAGTTCAGGCAATTAGCTATAGATTTTGAGATGCATTTTCATACCTTCATTTTCTTTACTCTTCAATTTGCAAGCTTTTGTTGTACCTCCGTTTTGGATGTAAAGGGTAATACACAGAAGTCAGTATATAAGGAATCTGGCTTTCAATTCTGCAGAATACTGAGACTTGGTGAAAGATGGAGTTTTGTGCTTTAAGATTAGGGTGATCTGGTTCTGTATTATGGAAGTGTCAAAAGTTGTTAGCCTGAATGTTTATGTACCACCGTTAAAAGTACAGAGGAGTTGAAAGTGGAAAAAAAAAAGGAAGCTCTGTGAAAGTGGCTAGTTTTCAGGCATTTGGCTTTTCCAGCTCATGGTGGCAAGTAGCCAGAGTTGGTGTCAGGACATGCTACTGCTGACCAATTCTGTACATAGTATACAGTGCAGGGCATGAGACTGGCAGAATACGGTGTAATTTAAGATGCCAGTAGTGATTACCCCATGTTTATAGGAAGGCCTGACCATGGTAAGGTTTTAACACCAACTATTCAACCAGAGCTATTCAAATACAGATATTTTGCACTAATGTGAACTGACTTACACTACAATGTAGCTTTGCAGTAGTGTTATGACTATAACCTACAAGACTTCAAGTGCAGCTTCTTTGTATACCTGGCAGATTTATCCCCTTTGGGTTTTCACTGTGTGCTACTGGAACAAAGACATATTTAGCCCCATTTCATGTAGTGATTTTTCAGTAGCATTTCTTCTGTTTAGGATGCTGTTTAAAAATAAATGAGTCTGTGTTCAGCAGTATTCTTCTTTTTATTGTAGTAACACTGTTAGGTGCCCACTGTAGGCACCACAGTGATACAGTCCCTGCTCCTACAGAGCTTACATGCTAGCTTTCAGAAGTCATTTGATTATAAACTCTTTTGTACATCCCAAATCTATACATAGGCTCATATGAAACTAACTCTGATTTTGGACTTGATTCTAGTACTTCAAGAAGTCAGCAGCTAGATTTCAAGACCAGAATCAGATATAACTTGAGTTTGCTGAAGGTATTCCTGACTTTACTGGCTGCAAGCACAAACAGAAGCACATGCTGAAGCTCAGCATTTCAGAATATTTCATCTATAATGTGCTGTTTTAAAAAAGTAAAACTAAAAAAACAAACCAACCCCTCACACATAATACAAAATATACATAATATTTCCAGCATTATTTGCGGCTGTGCCAACATAAAAGTGCAATAAACTCACCCATTACAAAAACTAAATTAGCCATTTAAGTATTAAGTGTAAAAGAAAAATAAACTAGTAACTTGAAGTGGTTAGGATACAAAAACCTTACCCATTGCTATGCCTTCCCTTTATTTTGGGAAAAAGTATTATGTGCAGGCTAGGGGGAAAATCCTGCTGTCTGGGACAAAACCCAGTGAAGACTACTAAATTGAGTCATTGCTACCTGATTGATAAACTGTTAAATCCCCAAAGAAGTTGGATGTCAGATATTGACCTGTACCTCCCACCAAAGATGGAAGAAGGAAATCTGGCTGAATGCCTAAATTTCCCTTGCAAGCAGCACCAGAAATGAAAGATGCTGCCATCTGCTGCATTGTGCAATTCCCCCTTCTGGCCTGGAGTGCATGACCCTGGTTATGTAGGAGCTTCCCACACATATGGGTGTAGGGTTTTGTTTTCTTCCTCACAAGTTTAT